GTCGGGAATTAATTCTTCTAAAGTAAATTATTACCACAGTAGGGGGTGGGAGGCATGTCTGACCTTCACCCAGTAGGAACTGGTCTTGGGCTGAGGTTGAGTTTAATTGTCCTTTTATGTGTTGAAGTCTGAGGAGGCCAGACGTGGCTGCCATGACATTCTCACACTTGTGGAAGGTGCAGATGCTTACCAGCTGTGGGCTCCCAGACTCTCAGCCCCTGCTGGATGTCTTCTGTCCTTCAGAAAGCTCTAGGAAGCCTCATCCTCACATTGTACAACTAGAACAGAGGTTAGACTTATTCTTGAGAGGCTTCTGTGTCGCTAGAGTTTTTCATGATAAAGAAGCATGAGAAGTTCCCGTTGTCCTAGAGGACACTGTGGAAAGTAGGCTGGAACAGACTGGTTGGGACTCTGTCCCCCAACGCCGAAGGTTTTCCAAAGAATGCAGAGTCCACAAGAAAAATCTGGATGTGGATAAATGCTATTTTATGGATGCCTTTGCGAATGGCCTGGGAAATATCTTTATCAGTTTATTTATGTGATTATCGATTCTTTCTCTCTGTGTCTATCTGTTGGTTGATCATAGATCTCTCAAATACAGAAAGCATATTGGTCTTTGTGTGCCAGAAACATGTACTTGATGTTATCTACTCCCATGTCAAAAGAGAGTGATGGGACAGAAAACAAGATACAAGCAAACGCAAAGACATTTGAATGTTAAAAATATATTTTTTTCAAATATAGTCTCTCTCTATATTTGTTTGTTTGTTTGTTTGCCTTGCCTATGTTCAAACTCAAAAGCCAAACTCACTTTCATCCAGTCTATTCTGGGACATCATCTTTCTATTGTTCGAGCCTCGGACCTTGTGGTGACAGCTCAGGGCAGAGCCCACTACGCCAGCAGGGCTTTCCATTACAAGTACTAAAAAGAAGAGCCACATATTGGGTCACTATTACATCCACTCACAGAGCCGATCTAGCAAAGGAAGGCTAGCTGTGGAGGAGGGTAGTGTAGGGGTAGGTTTGGAGGAGATGCATGCTCATCACTCTGCCCTCCACTCGAAAAGGTTCTGTGACTCCCAAGTCATTTCAGGTGGGTGGATGTAGCCAGCACCTGAGACGTTTCTCCTGAGGGGAAGTTGAAGGAAGTAGCGGAAGAGCTGTAAGCCAGAAGAGTGCTTGGCTGTTACTATCTCAGCAATCTCATTGAACCTGAAATCTTTCCTTCCTGCTTAAAGAGCCAGTCTCACTATTGTTTAAATGTCCATTTAGTGGAGTCGTAAATTATCTAAAAATCGAGAATAATAGTGAAAGCTGCTAA